CCTGCCTCCCGAGTAGCTGGGACTACAGGTGCGCACCATGCCTGGCTAATTTTTATATTTTTAGTAGAGATGAGGTTTCACCATGTTGGCCAGGCTGGTCTCAAACTGCTGACCTGTGATCCACCCGCCTCAGCCTCCCAAAGTGCTAGGATTACAGGCATGAGCAACCGTGCCCCGCCATACCCAACGATTAATAAAATGTAAAAAAACCCCCAAAACCTCAAGCCAGTTTCAAAAGCATCTTGTATTGATGTCAGTTCACAAACACCCCCGATAGTTAAAACTATGTCTTCTGATGGGTAGCATTTATAAGGAAGTTAGAAAGCAAGTCCAGGAGAAAAAGAGGATATGGCCAAATTCTACAGTAATGCTGTGTTCTGCACATTAGCCTACTAAAGGCTCGATGTCCTATGAAGAGACCTGCTTAAACTGTTTTCTAAATTTAAATGACCACATAATCTATTATGTATGAAAACAAAGTTATCAAACACTTGGAGAATTCCTGTTCTATCTGCATTCTACAGATTAACTGGTCCAGAATCCCATTAAAAAATATTAAACAGGTTGGGCACAGTGGCTCACACTTGTAGTTCCAGCACTTTGGGAGGCTGAGGCAATTAGATTACTTGAACCCAGGAGTTCGAGACCAGCCTGGGCAACATGATGAAACCCCATCTCTACAAAAAACAAAACAAAACATTAGCCAAATGTGGTGGCACACACCTGTAGTCCCAGCTACTCAGGCTAAAGCAGAATTGCTTGAGCCCAGGAGTTTGAGGCTGCAGTGAGCCAAGACCATGCCACTGCACTTCAGCCTGGGTGATAGAGCAGGATCCTGGCTCATAAAAAAACAAACAAACAAAATCTATCTGTATATATCTATAAAACGATCTTGCTGTTGGTGGTCCCACGATCCCACAATATGATCCCAGTGATCCCTGCTTTAAGAGTTCACAAACTAGTCTTTTGACAATTCATCTTAGAGTCTTATCAAGAATTACTTTATAATGTGCAAAATCTACTTTTTCCCTTTTAAAATCAGGACATTTGCCAGTATCTAACATATGAGTAGTTTAATATAGGTTGAGCATCTCAAATCTGAACATCCGAAACATTTTGAGCACTGATAGAACACACAAAAGAAATGGTCCTTGGAGCATTTCAGATTTGGAATGCTCAACACTATGAATATAACACTCTAAAATACAAAAAAATCTGAAACACCTCTGGTCTGAAGCATTTCAGATAAGAGATACTCCACCTGTACTTTAATTTCTCAAGGCTTAGTAAACAGCACTTTAATGATCTTATCAATCAAGTTCTCAATGGGAATTTGGGGGAAGCACTTAAAGCGTTATCTTAAAGCACTAACGAGAAGAAAACGCAGAAAAGCCCCACTACCTTTGGGACCAACAACTAGAAAGCCACCAGACATATACTGATCCTTTTAAATCAATGGCTTTCCACAAGGAGGTGTACACCAGAAATAACTGGGAATTTCTTTTTTTTTTTTTTTTTTTAATTTTTTGAGACGGAGTTTCGCTCTTGTTACCCAGGCTGGAGTGCAATGGCGCGATCTCGGCTCACCGCAAACTCCGCCTCCCGGGTTCAGGCAATTCTCCTGCCTCAGCCTCCTGAGTAGCTGGGATTACAGGCACGCACCACCATGCCCAGCTAATTTTTTGTATTTTTAGTAGAGACGGGGTTTCACCATGTTGACCAGGATGGTCTCCATCTCTTGACCTCGTGATCCACCTGCCTCGGCCTCCCAAAGTGCTGGGATTACAGGCTTGAGCCACCGCGCCAGGCCCCGGGAATTTCTTATAGTTTGTAAATCTCCTTGGAAGATTTTAATACACGTTTAGATAAAAATCCGTTTTGTGGCATGCACCTGTAGTCCAGCTACTTGGGAAGTTGGGGTGGGAGAATCGTTTGAGTCAGCAAGGTGGAAGTTGCAGTGAACCAAGATCATGCCACTGCAATCCAGCCTGCGTGATACACTAAGACCCGTCTCAAAAAAAGAAAAAAAATGTTTTTGGATCCCATCCTTCTCACTGTAATCATGTCCACTAAGAACAATTTAACCATAATCATTTGTAATAAAGACCTCTACGCTTTTCACTTTTATGAGTATTTTAGGCTATGGGTCTACAGCATCTTTCTCTGAGTATATTGGACTCTGGTTTCCTTAATGGTATTTTAGGTAACTCTATCATTATTCCTTGATCTGGCTTCTAAGAATTAAGATGGTAGGGCTTGGCTCTTTTCCCCCATAATTCACATTGCTTTCACTTAATCAACCAATTCTCCTTCTACAGCTAATAAGTTTTGGAATAACAGTTTTCATAACCCTTTTTCTTCTTCCTCAGTAGAAAAACGACAAATGTACCAGAAACACCTTTTGGAGTATTTTGGCACATTGTTTAGTAGATACAGTCTGGTTTTGCCTCTCTGCACTTACTGGTCTTCAACTGTTCACTTACATCCACTCGACTAGACAGCCTGTAGTTTGCCTCAATAATCTCCCTCACCTTTTGTCCTTACAGTCACCTACAGAGTAGCCTTGTTACCGTATCTCTTCTAGACATACAGCACTACACTGACTCATAAGAGTTGTTTCTTCTGACTAAATTATTCCCTTCCATTGTTATATTACAGTTGCTTTGCTCCACCAAACTGTTGGTCATATTATATAGCAAAATATGTTCCTTATTATTTATTTCTGTTCAGTGAATTATCTGAGATTTTAAGTACAATTTTTGATTTTGGGGGAATTTAGACATTCTTTTAAAATTATCTTACGGTTTTCAGAGATCATAGTTTTTAAAAAAAATTACTGAATTCATTTCGGTGGCTTAAAACACGATGTAATATAGAGAATTATTTATGCTTTCAAATAAAACGTCCTACATTTAATTGACTAAAAGTTTAAGCACAAGTTATGACACAATGAAAAGCTGTTTTAGGGTTATGTGAACTTGAAATATCATTAAGTTTTCAGCTGTCTGAAGAGGTACAGCAACATTAAAGGAAGGGACTAAACACCATCTCTGCTCCTAAACTAACAAGAGCTGAGACACATACAAATTTTATGGCAAGTAATCTAAAACTCTTCTAAAAATGATTAACTGTTATTCTATCCAACAAGAAAACCAATACAACAGATCTAATTAGGTAAGACACCAGATACTTGTCATGCAGTTTCAGTGTCTAGTAACAAACCTCTCTAAGTTCTGTTTCACAACTTCTAAGTACTAATAACACATTTTAAAAGGCTGATCCCACTTTAAATTACACAGAAGTAGCAGGGAACACAATTATCAAGTGAATGTGCATATACACCAAAGATGAAAGTCTAGTTTTGAAGCTCAACCTGGCAGCCTCAAAGATTTCAATGTATGTTGCAAAGTCACTAGCATAATTTCCAAAAATAAAATTTCACATGGAGTGGGGGAAGTACCATCAAATAGCTGAGTATTCTACCTCTAGAAAGCTGATATACATTAGTCTGTATTTTTCATTTTAAAATGTGATTGACTTGAGTTGGTACAAGGGATAAATTATCTATAATGCAAAATGTAACCATTACAAATTAATACAAAAACAAGTAGGCATTTTAGAATAGTTTTTCAGTACCTTCAGATTCTGACAAAATATAGCTCACTTAAAAAATTTATTATGCCAATTTTGCTTATTGCTATTAGGCTTCTTAAAAAGGACAATTTCAATTTTTTATGTTTGATTACAGACTGAAAAGCATTTTGCCATGTTCAGTAAATCAAATTAAACTTGTTTTTCATATCTGAGCTAATTACCTGAGTTAACAGCTCTAAGTTATTACTAAAAAGAGATAATCAGAAATAAAGATAGTTCAAAGTAACAAACTATAATTGATATCACTAATGATGACCTTTCTTACATTTTAACATTTCTCTTATTGAGAATCTATTATGTCTCAAAAGATATTTTTTGGTTGTTGTTAACACTCCCCTTCACTCTATACACACCCATGGGACTTTATTAAATGCAAAAAAATACCCTAAGATGTTGACTGTAATGTCAGAGATGGCCAAATTAAAAATAACTGCTGATGATTATGCCTTCTTTCTATTCTCAACTTTTTTAATGTATATTTAAAAATTCAATATTTAGCAAAAAATGACTAAAAGAGGTTTCAAGTCTCAAAATTCATTTGAAAGAAGTGTATATCATTTCATTTGAAAACAATGACATTTCTGCAGATATATGTAAGATCCCTATTTGTGCTGTAAATCTGTCACTGGAACCATCAAATTTTAGTACTTTTAAAGAGCAATTCAAAGATTTTTGCTGTATTATGCAATTGGTTGAATACAGTACTTTTACATGTAAAAAATAACTTACACTGAAGCAAAAGTCTGATACTTTATCAAAAGGACAAGAACAAAATGAGCAATGAAAAAATAGCAAAAGCTTTACAAAATATAGTAAGTTCCTATTTAAATTCCTGTGTTTAGGCAGAATAAAAATGCTATCAATTAACAATATGACACAGAGTGTAGCATACTTTCAGCTATAATATAGAAAGGTAACATGGGATATTTGAAATTCAAGCTGTACTTACCAAAATAGTTTTAACCCGAGTCTTTGACGTTTTCAAAAATGTATTTCATGATAACATACGCAAGAATATTTTTTAGTAGTATAAGGTTACATTTTTGAATTGCTCTTAATACTGCTTCTTAAATATTTGTGTAAAATTATAAATATTTATTACATTTCTTGGGTTCACTAAACACAAGGGAGTGTATGAATTGAAAAGCTGTTACTTTTTTCCTGTTATGTAAGCATATAAAGATGCTTAGTTCAAAGTATCTTAGATTTAATATTATTTTCACGTTTTGGCTTATTTTAGAACAAATGTAAAGGGTCAAAATATTGCCATAGATATTTGAAGATCCCATAAAATATGTCACACCCACTGAGAAATTAAACAAGTTCACTAAAGAATATCAAATTAATCATTTCCTCCTATAAATATTTTCTCTTTATTTGTGTTTAGAAGTTGCAATTTTAGGTACTATGAACAGAAAATACATAACAAAAACTTCCTAAGAAGTGAAAAAAAATAATTATAAATGCTGGAAAAATTGGCCTCATTAACATATTTACAGACTTTTACTTAATACATACTCCTTTGGAAATTAATTATATGACATTTATACAAGCATCAAAATTTCTAAATCACTGAGTAGTAAGCACTTCAGTTCTTTATTGTCTATACCCAAACTTGAAAGTCATTTAGTTTCTGAAGGCAGAACTGATAAGTAACAGAAATGGTCAATCTGAGATACTATTGACATATTGTTCTGTTCCTTCGCCTAAAGGTGCTTCTGTAGAGTAAGTGTCCTTATGTTTTTTTTTCTCTTTGCTCTGATCTTCCTGCAGCTTCAGAATTATGTTTCGGATTTCTTCTCTTTTTGTTCTCATTCTTGGTGGAGGAAACCAGTTTGCCAAATTCATAGGTAGTTCAAAATTGAGAATTGGATTCTGAAAATAAAATAATTAAATGCATATTAGAAAACTGTTTGTTTCAATCACAGAAAGATTCCAAAATTAAAAATAAGAAAACCCAACAACTCATTTAGTATGTATTTGTGTATTACACTGTGCTAGGTACTGGAGATATAAGACACAGTTTCTGTCACAGATCTTATAGTCTAGATCAGGGTTTGGCAAACTGTTGCCAGTGGACCAAATTCTGCCCACTGCCTGTTTTTGTATAAAGTTTTATTGAAACACAGCCAAACTAATTCATTTACATACAGTCTGCAGATGCTTTCACTAGGCAAAAGCAGAACTAAAAGGCAACAGAGATTGTATAAGTTGCAAAGCCCAACATATTTACTACTTTTATTAAAATGTTTGCCAGCTCCAGTTTAGAAAGGGAATTCAACAATTGAAACCAGGAATATGACAAGTATTATGACAGAAGTATAGAATACTGTGAAAATTCTTATCTGGGAGTTTATTGCAATTCCAAGAGGAAGTGATGTTTAGGCTAAGACCTGAAGAATGAATAGATGTTAGATACCCAAGGTATGACAGAAGCAATAAAAGAGTATTCCAGGTAAGGAAATATGAATCAAGGCCTAGGGGCAAGAAAGAACACGAAACAATGGTGTTCAGGTGGCTGATGTATTAAATGCTAGAGTGAAAATGGTGGGAAAATGAGGCTAGAAGCTTAAATAGGGGATGAGATCACGAGAAAGATTTTGGTCTGTAAATCAACAGCAATAGGAAGCCACTATATAAAATTTAAAGTAGGAAAGTAACAGGATTAGATTTACGTTTTTGGAAAACTGTGAAAAACAGAAGGCAGGAGGCATAGGAATCTGTTAGAGATTGGTATAGCAGTTCAGAATAGTGACACTTGAGGATAAAATAATAAACCTATTTGACATTAAGTGATGCAATTCACAGAACCTAGTGGTCATCCACTATATGGTAGATGAAGATGGAAGAAGTCAATATCACTGTAAAGAATATCCAAGAGAGGTATGTGTGGTACTGTACCTCTGAAGTCAAAGCAAGAGAGTGAGGGAAAAATGGTCACAGTGTCAAAAAGTGTTGAGAGGTCAAAAGCAATTTTAACATAAAGGTAAGGATACTGGATTTTAGAGATTTGAGAAGTAGAATCCGTAGAATTAGGGAGTGAATATAAACACTTCTGAAGAAATGTAACTATGAAGAGGAAAAAAGAGGGTAAAAGCAGTAGTATGAATCATGGGAGAGATTTCTTAAGGTGGAAAGAGGCAGTAGAGAGGGCAGGTTGATTGTTCAGTGATAGAATGAACTCAACAAGCCTTGGATTTGAAGAATGTAAATATACTATTTTTTAAAATAATGAAATATACTATTTTTAAAATGCCATGAAAGTTCTTCCATTTAGAAGATGGAATAATTTTTGAAATGATAATTTTAAAACTCTTTAAAATAATCGTGTTTTTTACTAAGGTAAACTCAAATGAACTATTTTATTATTTATTATATCAGATCCAACAAATTGAAACCCACCTCAAAAAAGCTCTCCACATACTGCAATACGTATACACCACAGTCACTGAAGTTGTTTTGCTGTGGTACTTTTGGATTAGAGCCCTTCATAACATCTTTGGAAAAACTTCTTTTGCTTCCTTTTTTAACTTCCCATTCCACTTCTAAATACCTGCAATAATTTATATATGTTAAGAATACACATATATATATAAATACATAGTTCTTCATCACCATCAGAATACGAAATCAAGTGTAAACTTACTCTCTTAAAATTTTGACAACATTTGACCGAGAAGGGCCTCGGAGTGAGTCCATAAGTAGGATACAAGGTCTGCAGGGTAAAAATGACCAAAAGTTGAATACTTCATAATATTACAAAGGCATAAAAGGATTAAAAGTGGCATGTTATAAACAATCAAATTTAAAACCTTCAAAATCCCTTTTGTATGACTCAGTACTACTGAGGGAAAATAAATGAACTTTATAGACACATGTGAACTTTATAATAATACTTAAATATCTGTGGATATATTAAATATTGAATTATAGAATATTAACCATATCTTAGCTATAAATATTTAATACTAAAATTCCATAGTTGGTTTCCAAAAGTACTTCAAAATTTGTGAAAAGTCAAAACAATTCTAAAAATTTGAACATCCTGATATTCTACATCAACAAAAGAAGGGCCATGAAAAAGTAGAAAGAAAATAATCTTCCCACCCCGGCCCATTTTTTTTAGACAGGGTCTCACTCTGTCACCATGTGCAGTGGCATAAAAATGGCTCACTGCAGCCTCAATGTCCTGAGCACAGGTGATCCTCCCACCTCAGCCCCCTGAGGAGTTGGGACCACAGGCAGGTGTGACCACAATCAGCTCATTTTTGTATTTTTTTGTAGAGATGGGGTTTTTCCATGCTTCCCAGGCTGGTATAGAACTCCTGGGCTGAAACTATCTGCCTGACTCAGCCTCCCAAAGTGCTGGGATTATAGGCATGAGCTACCTTGCCCAGCCAAAAATCTTATTTTTAACTAAAACTTATTATAGATAACAAAACAGGTAATCATCACATAAAATAATTAGTTTAAAATGTTTTTTCAAGATTCCACTTCAGAACTATATATATGTTTTATATATATATAAACATTTATATAAACTCTCTATATAAATGTTGACAGCTGAAGATTTAACTTTCAACATTTTAATTCTGTGAAGTTATGTTGTAAACTCAAAGAAGTCTAATGTAGAGCTCAAAGTCCTTAAATATTAAAAAAAACTAGGTTCTTTTTTAGTCACCACACTTGGCTTTTTTTTTTTTTTTTTTGAGACAGAGTTTTGATCTTGTTGCTCAGGCTGGAGTGCAATGGCAAGATCTCGGCTCACCACAACCTCTGCCTCCTGGGTTCAAGTGATTCTCCTGCATCAGCTTTCCAAGTAGCTGGGATTACAAGCATGCGCTACCACGCCCAGCTAGTTTTGTATTTTTATTAGAGACAGGGTTCTTCCATGTTGGTCAGCCTGGTCTAAAACTGACCTGAGGTTATCTGCCTGCCTCGGCCTCCCAAAGTGCTGGGAGTCACTATGCCTGGCCTTTCTTTTTCCTTTTACTTTCTGCAGAAATGGGGTCTCACTGTGTTGCCCAAGCTGGTCTTGAACTCCTGGCCTCAAGTGCTCCTCCTTCCTTGGTCTTCAAAAGTGCTAGAATTAGAAGTGTGTGTAATCCCAGCACTTTGGGAGGCTGAGGCGCGTGGATCACGAGGTCAAGAGATCAAGACCATCCTGGTCAACATGGTGAAACCCCGTCTCTACTAAAAATACAAAAAAATTAGCTGGGCATGGTGGCGCGTGCCTGTAATCCCAGCTACTCAGGAGGCTGAGGCAGGAGAATTGCCTGAACCCAGGAGGCGGAGGTTGCGGTGAGCCGAACACTCCAGCCTGGGTAACAAGACCGAAACTTTTTCTCAAAAAAAAAAAAAAAAAAAAAAAAAAAAAAAAAAAAAAAAAGAAGTGTGACCCACTGTGTCTGGAAGTTATCTAGGTTCTTCCTGCAAACATTTTACAAAGTTTGGAGCATACTGTTTCTTTTTGTTTGAGTCAGAGTCTAGCTCTGTTGCCAGGCTGGAGTACAGTGGCTCGATCTCAGCTCACTGCAACCCCACCTCCTGGGTTCAAGCAATTCTCCTGCCTCAGCCTCCCGAGTAGCTGGGACTATAGGTGCTTGCCACCACACCCAGCTAGTTTTTGTGTTTTTAGTAGGTATGGGGGATGGTCTCGATCTCTTGACCTCATGATCTGCCTGCCTCAGCCTCCCAAAGTGCTAGGATTACAGGCGTGAGCCACCACGCCCGGCCAAGAGCAGATTCTTTAACTATCCGAGTCTCTATTTTCCTATGAAATGATGCTTCATTTTCAAAGTGTCTTAATGGAGTTTGTCAACAATTTTCTATTAAAAAAAGTCAAAAGAGATTAAACCTAAGCAGTTTCGCATCTCTGGAGTGACCTCAGAAGAAACATGTACTTCTGAAAACCAAAACTGACTCACTCTTATTTGGAGTTTTCAGCTGGATGGAACATGTCTCTTATGTCTGCCTTTGGTTACTCCACAACCTTCATAAAGTAGCTAAGGAATCAGTGTAAACTCCAACCTCATATTACTGTTTTGATATATAGTGATTTCTGCTCCTAAACACTGTTAATAAAAATGAATAGTGGTTCACTATCCAAAGTTGTGGCCAGGCACGGTGGGTTGCACTTGTAATCCCAGCACTTTGGAAGGCTGAGGCAGGTGGTTTACTTGAGGCCAGGAGTTTGAGACCAGTCTGGCCAACATGGCAAAACCTGATCTCTACTAAAAATATAAAGCTTAGCCAGGCATGGTGGCACACACCTGCAGTCCCAGCTACTTCAGAAGCTGAGGCATGAGAATCACTTTAACAGGGAGACAAAGGATGCGGTAAGCTGAGATCACACCACTGCACTCCACTGTCTCAAAACAAAACAAAAGATAAAAAATTTACAAAGATAAACACAACAAAACACTTGTGTGTGCACATGTGCACACAGAGACTGGGGAAACTGGCAAATGGAGGACTGAAATGATTATCCATTCTTCCCATTTTAATCCCTGGATAGCATGCAAGTTTCCTCACTCAACCTGACAGCATTTATGAGTTTTGCTTAAGTATTTGTTTAAATAAAAACTGTCCTGTTATGTTTTATTTTATGAGCATACTTAAATAAAAATTATGCAGTTTGCAAGATATAGTTAATGCTTACTGTTTACAGATAGCAGGCTTTAAATGCCACTGTCCTATCTCTGAACTGCAGTTGTCATCAGCAAGGAATCCATCATCACTGCTATCATCCTATAAAAGACAGCCTACTGTTAATATTGAAAATATATAATCTAAATAATAGCCTAACAAAATAGCACACTGAAGATAAAAATATTTATGATGAATGTCAAAATTTTTTCTCTAGGTGATTAGACACTAGAGATGGGGTATGTTACTTAATTCCAATTATCTAATGCCAAAATACTGATATTTTAAGGGAAAGAAACTATCAAAATTTGTAACAAATTGTTACATTTACTCACTCTAGAATAAATCTTTAAGGCTGAATATATCATGACTGATTCTTCTCCCATCAAATATTACTGCTCTGATTTTAGTTTATTTCTACAAAAATTTAGTTTGCTGGCTAAGACAGCTGTTTCACAATAGGATATAAATAACCCATATTATTTTACATGAATAATGTTTTCATATTAGAAATATTTAAAGGGTTTTTGGAAACACTGTTTTTCTTAAGAAACTCATATATCCATCTCTCTTGTGAGAAGCTAACTTAAGGACATTGTGTCCTTATTCTGTAGATTTTCTTGAATGTAAAATAAACAAGGGTTTTTTTGGTCACTGTTGTTCTTTGAGAAAACTTCTGGCAACTTTATGAATGTAATAACCTAAAGTAGGAATAACAGTAATAATAAAGCATAGTTACATTAGCTTGTTCACATCATAGGTTAACTGCTATAACCAAAAGTGCCTAAGAACAAGTGCTCATTATAAATCATGAATGTAATTCCTATATATGTTGGATTGAAAAGCTATATATAGCTGCCATATGTTGTAAACCAAAAGCTATCATAAAATGCCTTTTGTTCACAGAAGATTAAACAAAAAGGAAAGATACAGTATAAAGCCATCTTCACTACTGTACAACTCAGTATGTCCTAATAACTAATGAAAGGTCAGAGAATTAACCAAATGGTATGGTGTAGAATTCTTATTAACTTTTCTCAATATAAAATCCTCTTTAAGTGTAGCTAAAAAATAAAGTTTATTCACAGATATACTTTATTTTTGGTATTAATACTGTTTATTAGGGCAAATGAGAATCTAAGGAAAAGTCAGAATTCATCTATGTTAACTTTAACTAAATATTATCTGCTTCTGCCATGACATATAAATCAGACAGGAGAAAAAAAAATACTGGCAAAATGGGAAAATGCTATTAATTTTTTTGGTACCTATATACCACATATTGAAGGTTTAAACATTTGCTTCTTGAATGTCAAGTCAGATTAAAGGTTAAGTATGGCCCATAAATGCTTTGAAAGAGAAAGGTGAGTAGTGTTGGTGGTAGCTGAGTTAGGGTGGGATAATTAGCATTACGTTAAAGTTCAGTCCACACCACCACAGCAGCAGCAACAACATCGTGAAAACATTTATCCTGGCAACTTCTGACTTGAAAGCCGAATTTGTTTTTTAAGACATGATCCAAATTCAGAAGCCATGATAAATTACTAGTCGAAGAAATTGCTTTACAAGACTTTATGAAGGAAAATTTTTTCTTTCTTTCCTTTTTTTTTAAAGAGATGGAGTTTCCTATGTTGCCCAGCCAGGCTGAACTCAAACTCCTAGGCTTACGAGATCTTCCTGCCTTAGCCTCCCAAGTCACTGGGACTATAGGTGTGCGCCACTATGTTCAGCAAGAAAAACTTGTAATTAGATAAAACATTAGAACTTTTTGCCAAGTATTAAGTTTTACCTGGTTATCCTGATCCTCTGAGAAGTCGATGAGTTCATCTTCAAGCATTTTACCACCTTCAGTTGATTCATCACCATAGTTTAGTCTGATTTTGCTTAAGCCATCTGTATCAATAAGAAACATCTCATAATAAAAAAGGCCATGTCTATCACTCATAGTATATAAGGCTGAAATTAATTAACAATATAGTAGTCAAGGAAACAAAATCTGCCTTAGTGTATAATATTAAAAGCATAAGGTGAGTTACTTTAAAAACCTGGACTGACATGTCAATTACAGTTGTTTCTGCTACTCAGATGCTTAAATTCATTAAAATTTAAAAACTAGGTATCAGCTGTGATTATATATATACTTAAATACATACAAATATGTATATATGTAAACAAATACTTTTTATCTTTAAAAGGTTTTTTTTTGAGATGGAGTTTCGCTCTTGTCACTCAGTCTAGAGTGCAATGGCGTGATCTTGACTCACTGCAACCTCCGCCTCTTGGCTTCAAGTGATTCTCCTGCCTCAGCCTCCCGAATAGGTGGGACTACGAGTACCCACCCCCACGCTCAGCTAATTTTTGTATTTTTAGTAGAGACGGGGTTTTACCATGTTGGCCAGGCTCATCTCAAATTTCTGACCTCAGGTGATAGGTGATCTGCCCGCCTCGGCCTCCCAAAGTGCTGGGATTATAGGCATGAGCCACCACGCCCAGCCATCAGGTATCTTTAGTAATGAAAGCTATGACTGTCTGAGCATCTAATAACAGAAACAGCAAATCATAGAACATAAACGAAACTGCAACTGCATAATTTTATAATTAAAATTTCAAAAATATGGAAAATTACATAATTCAGGACAAAAATGAACATTAACTACGAGTAATAGGTTTGTTTTTAGACAAATATGAATCAATTATTTTGCTGAAAGAAGCTAATCACAACATATTTCAAAGAAATTTAGGATTTACTACCATTTCAAAATGTTATTTTATTTTACTTACTTTTTAAAAATTTTTATTTTTTGACACAGAGTCCTGCTCTGTAACCCAGGCTGGAGAGCGCAGTAGCATAATCTCGGCTCACTGAAACCTCTGCCTCCCGGGTTCAAGTGATTCTCCTGCCTCAGCCTACTGAATAGCTGGGATTACAGGTGCACACCACCATGCCTGACATGTTTGTATTTTTAGTAGATGGGGTTTTGCCATGTTGACCAGGCTCATCTTGAACTCCTGGCCTCAAGTGATCCACCTGCCTTTGTCTCCCGAAATGTTGGAATTATAGGTGTGAGCCACGGTGCCTGGCCTCATATTTTTTGATTTTTAAGAGACAGGATTTCTTTCACTCTTTTGCCATGCCTGAAGTCCAGTGATGCAATCATAACTCACTGTAACCTTAAACTCCTAGGCTTAAGCCATCCTCCTGCTTTGGCCTCCCAGAATGCTGGGATTACAGGTGCACACCACTATGCCCAACTAATTTTTATTTATTTATTTTTCTTTCAAAAATTTAAAAAGCATGACTTTTAGGTATTATAGACCTAAAAGGATAAAATTTAGGATAAAATTTACTTTGGTATAAGTTACTAAAAAGGTATTAAGAAAGTAATATAAACAATATGGGATGAAAAGGAAGCAAAATGCATTTCTGAAAAGATATATAATCCAACTTGGCTAACACGGTGAAAACTTGTCTCTACTAAAAACACAAAAACTAGCCAGGCATGGTGGCATCCACCAGTAATCTCAGCTAATCGGGAGACTGAGACAGGAGAATTGCTTGAACCTGGGAAATGGAGGTTGCAGAGAGCCGAGATCATGCCACTGCACTCCAGCCTGAATGACAAAGCAAGACTGTCTCAAAAAAAAAAAAAGAAAAGAAAAGAAAAAAAAAAGATATATAGATCTAACTGTTGTGTTCAGAAGCATACTATTTAAAATAACCAATAAAGCACTATGGGGCCGGACACAGTGGCCTAGCACCTGTAATCCTAGCACTTTGGGAGGCTCAGGCAGGAGAATCACTTGAGTCCAGAAGGATCACCTGGGTGACACAGTGAGACACTGTCTCTACAAAAAAATAAAAAATTAGTCAGGTGTAGTGGTATGCATGGGTGGTCCCAGTTACTCAGGAAGCTGAAGTGGGAGGATCACTTGAGCATGGGAGGTTGAGGCTGCAGTGAACTGTGATTGTATTGCTGCACTCTTAACTTTCATGAAAGTGAGACTGTCTCAAAAAAGAACAAATATCTGCCACAACCAAAAAGAAAGCATTATGGGCTGAGCATGGTGGCTCACATCTGTAAACCCAACACTCTGGGAGGCTGAGATGAGATGACTGCTTGAACGCTAAGTTTGAGACCAGTCTGAGCAACATAGGGAGACCCTGTCTCTACAGAAAATAAATTTTGCCAGGCAGGTGGCACATGCCTGGTTAGTCCTATCTACTCAGGAGGTTGAGTTGGGAGGACTGCTTGAGTCCAGCGGGTAGAGGATTCAGTGATCTATGATTGTGCCACTGCATTCCAGTCTGGACAACAGAGTGAGACCCTGTCTCCAAAAAAAAAAAAGATCTCTTCAATTTATTTTTTCCAAAAATCTGTATTTTTAAGCCTATTTAAAGCTAAAACACCTGTATTTCAATAAAATTTGTCCAAAATCGTCACACAATTCAGAATTAGTCATTTACAATCAGGATATTTCTAGCAGCAAATCATTATTATCGATGTAAACTGCGGTCATATGAATATCTGCCTCACACAAACTAAACTACAAATGTCTTTCAAAACCAAGAGAAAAATAACTTAAATGATGCAGTCAATTCCCTCTATAAACAAATGACCTGGCATGAACTGAGAGATGATGACTTGATCAGTGGTTTTCTAAATCAGCGTCAGTTCAAGAACTTCTTATATAATGAGACCATGTGGGGATGCTGAGTGTAATTCTAGAGTTAAGCGCACTCTAGTTTTTTTTTTTCTTTTTTTTTTCTCCGAGACAGAGTTTCGCTCTTGTTACCCAGGCTAGAGTGCAATGGCATGATCTCGGCTCACCGCAATCTCCGCCTCCTGGGTTCAGGCAATTCTCCTGCCTCAGCCTCCTGAGTAGCTGGGATTACAGGCACGCGCCACCATGCCCAGCTAATTTCTTGTATTTTTTCTTTTTGAGACGGAGTTTCACTCTTGCTACCCAGGCTGGAGTGCAATGGCTTGATCTTGGCTCAACGCAACCTCCGCCTCCTGGGTTCAGGCAATTCTCCTGCCTCAGCCTCCTGTGTAGCTGGGATTACAGGCACACACCACCATGCCCAGCTAATTTTTCTTTGTATTTTCAGTAGAGACGGGGTTTCACCATGTTGACCAGGATGGTCTTGATCTCTTGACCTCGTGATCCACCCGCCTCGGCCTCCCAAAGTGCTGGGATTACAGGCTTGAGCCACCGCACCCGGCAGCGTACACATTTTTCATGAACCATGGTAAACCAACTATTTCATATTGTGCCAAGTGAAAAAACAGCAAGTGAAAGTAGTGATTCCACACATTATTTCCCTAGTTGAGTGTAAAACCCTAATTTCCACTTATTTACTACAGCATGTTATCTGACATAAGCATCAACACTTGTTGACTATATGTGAAATCACTACATGTAATTTTTTGTGAAACATTTGTTCTGAAGAAGAAATAGCTGATATGGTATACACGTACTAAAAACAAAACAAAATGTACAAACTATAATTTAAAAATGAGTAAACGGGATAAACAAGTACTAAGAAGGCAAACTACATGAAAAAATTATTTTTGGCTCTGGTCTCCATTAGGATTTTTGAAGCTACTTACTCAAATTTAGCTGTTACTTGAGGAGAAAATTAATTTGTAGTAAAGGGCACTAGAAAGCTCTGGAGTTTGTGTATATAAAGCCCTAGGCTTTTGTCCCATTGCTTTAAGTCAAGCACTTAATTCACTTATTTGAATTCACATGGAAGTATGTAAGATTACTGGCGAAAAGAAGACTTAAAAAATATAGCCATACTAAAATTTAATTCACATACCATATACACCCATTTAAAGTATACAATCTAACAGTTTTTAGTATATGCACAGCCAACATCACAACCAATTTTTAAACCTTTTCATTATCTCAAAAAGAAACCCCATACCATTTGGCTGTCACTTTCTTCCTACATTCCCATCCACTTCACCTGCCCACTCCAAAAGCCCCAAGCAGCCACTAATCTATTCTAGATTTTCCTGCTTAGGAGATTTCTTATAAGAGCTAAACAGGCCAGGCAAGGTGGCATGCACCTGTATCCCAGCTACAAGGGAGGCTGATGCAAGAGAAGAGAATTGCTTGAACCCAGGAGGCAGAGGCTGCAGTGAGCCAAGATTACGCCACTGCACTCTAGACTGGGTGATTCTGTCTCCAAAAAAAAAAGGCTCAACCATAGCTTTCTGACTCACTAAAATAATACAATCTGGTATAAGTACCAAGAGTATATCCAGAATTTGCAATTTTTGGTAGGTTCTTTCTGAATCACATAGTTAATTCTATATCCTATACCAATATTTTTCATCCAGAAAAAATTTATTAGTTCTATGACCAAGGTGTTAGAAAAAAAAAAGAAGAAAAATGTATTATATCTATTCATAGTTTTTAAGAAGTTTGCAAGGCACACCTTATAGCATGTTATGGTTTTTTTTTTTTTTTTTTTTTTTTTTGAGACATCTTGCTTTTGTCCCCCAGGCTGGAGTACAATGGCACGATCTCGGCTCACTGCAACCTCTGCCTCCTGGTTTCAAGCAATTCTGCTTCAGCCACCCAAGTGGCTGGGATTATGGGATTACAGGCACCCGCCACCATGCCCAGCTAATTTCTACATTTTTACTAGAGACAGGGTTTCACCATGTTGGCCAGGCTGGTCTCGAACTGCTGACCTTGGTATCTGCCCTCCTCGGCCTCCCAAAGTGCTGAGATTACAGGCATGAATGAGCCATTGCAATCGGCCTGTTAAGGGTTTTTATAGAGAGGACTATTTTACTTGTAGGTTGGGGAGGAAATTATACAACTGACTTGATATCAAATTTAAGAATTTAAATAGAAACTAGATTTCTTTAACAGGCTCCACAATTATGGAACTGACTCAAGGACAAAAATCCATGTATTAGGGCTGAAGACCGATTTAAACAAGCAACGATTGGGACCAGTGCCTCTTTCCACTGAAAACAGTGAAGGAGAGTGAGGAATGAAGAACCAAGCTTTCATTGGAATGTACAAAACTATTTTGAAGAGGAAGCTTTCATTTCTGCCTTGGTCCATTTGATCTCAATTTACTAACATGTAAACTCAGGTCTAATTTGTCTCATATGTCTAAGACTGTACAACTACTGTTTTTTTTTTTTTTTTTTTTTTTTTTTATAGTTCTGACATAGTCTTGCTCTGTTGCTCAGGCTGGAATGCAGTGGCATGATCTCAGCTCAGTGCAACTTCTGTCTCCTGGGTTCAAGCAATTCTCCCACCTCAGCCTCCTAGTAGCTGGGATTATAGGCATGCACCATCACACCTGGCTAATTTTTGTATTTTTAATAGAGATGGGGTTTCACCATGTTGGCCAAGCTGGTCTCGAACTCCTGACCTAGTGATCCACCCACCTCAGCCTCCTAAAGTGCTGGGATTACAAGTGTGAGCCACCATGCCCAGTCTGCACAACTACTGTTAAGGCTGAATGCTGTAAATTTCCTATGAAATAAAAATAAATCGAAGTTCCAATAAACGGAAAATGTAAACCTTGTACTATAACTTCAAAATTCCACTCTGGGGGTGACAGAAGAGACAAGCTACAAAAAGGGCATAAGCGGATTGTTTTTTTGGAGTGATGAAACAGTTCTCAATTTTTTGTTTTTTCTTTTGAGATGGGGTTTCACTCTGAAACCCAGGCTGGAGTGCAGTGGTGTTATCTCCACTCACTGCAACCTCAGCCCCATGAGCTCAAGCGATCCTCCCTCTTCAGCCTCCAAAGTAGCTGGGACCACAGATCTGAAGCACTATGTCTAAGTTTTTGTATTTTTGATAGAGACAGGGTTTCACCATGTTGCCCAGACTGGTTTCAAATTTCTAAGCTCAAGTGATCTGCCCATCTTGGCCCCTCAAATTGTTGGAATTATAGACAGGAGTCACTGTGCCCTGGCCATATTCTCAATTTTGATTGCGGTAGTGATTACATGACCGTATATATACATTTATCAAAGCTCATTAAGCTACACTCCTAAAATGAGTAAATGTTATTATAATTATACCTCAGTATAAATTAAAAGTTATGTTACTATAAGTAAATTCTTTAAATATTTTCTTTTTACTTATTTTTTTACAGATGGTGTATCGCTATGTTGCCCAGGCTGGTCTCAAACTCCTGGCCTCAAGAGATCCTCCTGCCTTGGCCTCCCAAAAAGTCTTTGGATTATAAGGATGAGCCACCACATCCACCCATTAATCCGATTTTTTTTACAAACAGGATCTTAATCCTGTTTATTTTTTTTTTGAGATGGAGTCTCGCCGTCTCGCCCAGGCTGGGGTACAGCGGCACAATCTCAGCTTACTACAACATCTGCCTCCTGGGTTCAAGTGATTCTCCTGACTCAGCCTCCCGAGTAGCTGGGACTACAGGCACATGCCACCACACCTGCTAATTTTTTCTATTGTTAGTGAAGATGAGGTTTCACCATGTTAGCCAGGGATAGTCTCGATCTCCTGACCTCATGATCCACTTGCCTTAGCCTCCCAAAGTGCTGGGATTATAGGTGTGAGCCACCGTGCCTGGACTTAATCCTGTTTATTAAAATATCCAAATTATTCTGAATTTTTTCATTCTTTCAAAATATTTAGATACGTACCTGTATGATGCGTGGAACTTAAACCTTCATTCTGTGGGCCATTCTCACTTTTAGTCCTATCATTAACTTTCTGGGATGTAGATTCTCCTTTATTCAATTCTTCATTTTCACTCGCAGTATGATTTATTTTTTTCACATTATATTTCACACTGCATATGTTTCTCTTATAACGAGGGTCACTTTCTTCCTGCCCAGGATTGGAATCAATTACAGCTATGCAATGTTTTTTGTTTAGCATCTTCTTAATTACAGGCTTGGCAGAAGAGTTTTGTGAACAACTGTCCATTTCACTGGCTGAAGAAATACAACTGTCCTCTACAGTTGAACATTTCTGTATGACAGCATTTTCATGGTAATGAGGATTAGGTTCATACTTTGGTTTTTCCAAACCAGGGAAACAAACAACAGCCAAAAACCAGTGTGCACTGTAAAAAACAAATGAAATGACTAAATATGTTATTAGAAAAGTTTATTATATATGGCAATACACATCAATTAAAATGTTTTTTCTAAAGTTCTTGCCAATGAATTTATTAAGAATGCCTAATTTTGGCTAGGCACGGTGGCTGAAGCCTGTAATCCCAGCACTTTGGGAGGCCAAGGTGGGTGGATCACCTGAAGTCAGTTCAAGACCAGCCTGGCCAAAATGGTGAAACCCTATCTCTACTAAAAGTATGAAAATTAGCCAGGCACAGTGGTGTGTACCTGTTATTCCAGCTACTCTAGAGGCTAAGGCAGGAGAATCACTTGAACTCAGGAGGTGGAGGTTGTGGTGAGCCAAGATCACACCACTGTACTCCGCAAGACTCTGTCTCAAAAAAAGAAAAAAAAAGGCCTATTTTTTTCAATTCTCAAATTAACACAATTGTTTTATGTGATCACTGATTCATTAACAGAATATAGTGTTTATTCAAAAATAACACAGTTCATGTTAAAATTATGTAGCCTGTATTTACTTTTGCAAACAATCCCTGAACCTTTTCTTGTTTTTGGAATAAAAAAAACATTGTTCTATCTGGTAAATATGTCACTTTGCAACTTGTCATTCCCATTTGTCTTCTCTTTATGTAAAAAGATAGAAAACTAACCATCTTAAAGATTAAACTGTCTTCAGCAGTCTAATTGGAGCATATGATTTTCAATATTTTCTAAGAATTGCATATACAGTTTTGTTCTTTTTACTTTTACTGTGTTATTAATAAGATAGGAAAGGCTTAATATCAAAAATATGTATATGTTATGTTTTATCTTATGCTATATTGAAATTTAATACATTAAAAAGAAATAACATATCTAATCTAGTCCTTTACAAAAATTTCAGTATTAGCAAAGAGTTCCAGCTATCAAGTAGCTGCTTATGATACAGCTGAATTCAGGTATCACTGTTCCCAACAGTAGAGTATAGGACACAAGCAAGAAGCTGTACAATCCTGGCCAATATTAATTTTTTGCTAGACACAGGGTTGTGTTGGGATACAAGGGACAGGCTATAGATGTTGGAATTTATTGGTCAAACACAATAGTATCTGTCCTATGGGAGGGTGTTAAATACTTGCTGGATGAAAAACAAATTATCTTGGCATGGATTAAAAATTATACCACATTCTCACATTTCTGCAAAAGATTAGAGTACCCAAGGTAGTGCTAAGAAACAACACTATCTCTTCATCGGACAGCATCCAGTAGAAAGGTCATAAAGGCTGGCTGGCTTCATCTTCAGTATCGTGAAGGCCAGATGGATGAATGCTTGCTTCTCTCCTGTTCTTCATCATTAATCTTTACTACCCTATGGATTTACATCAGGCTTACACATCAACCTCTTCATTTCATCATTTCTAACACATAGCTAATTGTATGTCACACCTCAACTTTAGACGTGTTGAAATACGAAAAAAATGTGTTAAAAATTGATGAGGCCGGGCACGGTGGCTCACGCCTATAATTCCTACACTTTGGGAAGCTGAGACAGGTAGATGGCTTCAGCTCAGGAATTCGACACTGGCCTGGGCAACATGGCAAAACCCCATCTCTACCAAAAATACAAAAAGTTAGCTGCGTGTTGTGGCATGTGCCTGTGGTCCAAGCTACTGGGGTAGGGAGTAGAGGTGGGAGAATCACTTGAGCTTGGGAGGCGGAGGTTGTAGTGAGCCAAGATGGTGCCACTGCACTCCAGCTGGGAGACAGAGTGAGACCCCGTCTCAAAATAAATAAAATGAAATTGATGAAATATAGTATAATACAGTGACTCTCAACCTATAGCTGTAACCTAAGCCTATCACAGTTCTTAACATTTTTTTTCTTTGTGTCTGTTTTCTTCATTCTTTCAGCTTAACATTTCTTAACTATGCCAATATGGATAAGCTACAAATTTGCCTCACCTAAAAACTAGGAAAAATCGTTTTTGGCCTGGCTAAGAAGAGAAAGCTGAATCAGACAATTACTTCCAACAATTACTTCCATTAAGCCAAGGTTTTGCTTTTATGATTCCTTATAATAACTGCTACATTAATTTTAACAGCAGAAGAGAGGCTAACACAGGCAATTTTGGCGAGGTACAGTGGCTCAAGCCTGTAATCCTGGTGCTATGAGAGGCTGAGATGAGAGGACTGCTTGAGGCCAGAAGTCTGAGACCAGTCTGGGCAACCAAGTTAGACCCCATCTCTACAAAAAAATCAAAAAATTAGCTGGACCTGTGGCACATGCCTGTAGTTCTAGCTACTCAGGAGGCTGAGGCAGGAGGATCACTTTAAGGCTAGGAGTTTGAAACTTCCATGAATTATGATTGTACCACTGTACTCCAGCCTGGGCAACAGAATGAGACTCTGTCTCTAAAAAAAAACTAAACAAAAGAAAAGAAAATCCCCAGGCAATTTCACTTAAGATGGATTAGATACAAACATCAATTTGTGTTCCTGGCAAGTACTGTAATAATTTTTAATAAGCAGCTTAGAAATTTAAGAAAAAAATTAGGACTGGGTACAATGGCACATGCCGGTAATCCCAGCACTTTGAGAAGCTAAGGCAGATGGATTGCTTAGGCTGAGGAGTTTGAGACCAGCCTGGGTAGCATGGCAAAACCCCATCCTCTTTAAAAAATACAAAAATTAGCTGGGTGTGCTGGCATGCACCTATAGTCCCAGCTACTCAGGAGGCTAAGGTTGGAGGATCACTTAAGCCTGGGAGGTTGAGGCTGCAGTAAGCCAACATCACACTACTGCATTCCAGCCTGGGTGACAGAGACAGACCCTATCTTGAGAAAAGAAAGAAAAGGAAAAAAAAATTGGTACCACCAGAAAAAAATAAAAATAAAATAGATGACAAATACATGGCAGCCAATCTAATATAATTAGTATATATTTGTAGCTTTATCTCTTCCAAAAAAAAAAAGCGAAAAACAAAAAGAAACTCTCTTGATTTATAGACTATTTTTTCATCTACAAATGGCAGAGACCTCCTACAGAGTTCATTTTCTACCTTTCACCAAAATGACTGGAAGCACTGATAACTTCCATTCACAGGTATAGTGACTAAGAGGGATGTGTCTCTATCCCTAAATTGTGTGTAATCAAATTATATTTCTATTTAAAATTTTTATAATTCATTTCTGACAAATGGCTTTCCTCCCTTTCACCTAGTAAGTAGCTCACATGTTACTTTACGTGACAAATTAGTATCTGGTCAAGAAATCATTTTTTTTTTTTTTTGAGACTGAGTCTCATTCTGCCGCCCAGGCTGGAGAGCAGTGGTGCAATCTTGGCTCACTGCAACCTCTGCCTCCTGGGTTCAAGCAATCCTCCTGCCTCAGCCTCCTGAGTAGCTGGGATTAGAGGCATGAACCACTACACCCAGCTAATTTTCGTATTTTCAGTAGAGATGAGGTTTCGCTATCTTGGCCAGGTTGATCTGGAACCCCTGACCTCATATAATCTGCCCACTTTGGCCTCCCAAAGTGCTAGGATTAAAGCGTGAGGCACCGTGCCCAGCCAAAACCTTTTGAAGAGAATAAAGAAATTAATTAGTTTTAAATTTTACTATGATAATATGAATTTTAAAATATACAGCTTTGCCAGGAGCAGTGGCTCATCCCAGCTACTTGGGAGGCTTGAGATGGGGTGACGGCTTGAGGCCAAGAGTTCAAGACCAGCCTAAGTAACATAGTGAAACCCCTATCTCTACTACAAAGTCAAAAAAATATTCAGAAGCTAGCTGGGCACAGCTAGGCTTATGATACATAAACAATCTCATAGAATACTAACGCCAGGAAAGTGTATTCTGTAAGCATGATACAACGAGACAAAGGAGGGCCATATCATAATTTGTCTAAGCAGAGAAAAATATAAGGTCACAGTTGGAAACCACAAAACAGCCAACATTCTTCCTTATTAGTAAGTGAATGCTACTTCTTTACCTGAGCAACCCATTACTACTTTAGACGTTCCCCCAAATCACCCAAGGAAAGCCTAGATTCTGTCACAGGTTCTCTCAAACACTCTTTTACTGATAGGCCCCTGAGTTGCCCATGGTGTGTGTTATTCCTTGATGCAAGTAATAAGCCCAAGTTTTACATCTACAAGTGTATTTCTGGTAATCTTTGAATCGAGGGCATAGAAAAACAAAAGAATAAATACAAAAAACTTTCTTCAAGTTTTAATTGTATAATAATACTAGCAATGCTATCTTCTCTAGTTGTTGGGAGAGAATAATACAAATATGTAAACATCTCCATTTACATAGAAACTGCTTCAAATAGCAGGGTTTTTAATTTGAACAAATGGCATAAATCCAACCATCATTTCTCCTTTCTGGTTAAAAACAGAAGTGTATTTTAAACTTAAGATTCCAATTCCTTTTGTGACTTAATCATCTTTTTGTATGAAATAATACTTTTCTATAGGTTACTTGCTAGACAATAAGCATCATTTTTTTAAAAAAAGATATTATTTGACATTAATGAATAAAATGAGATTAGAAAAGTATGTGGTCTATGTCCATAAAGTTCAACATCTTACATGATTCACTGTGAAACTGCATTAAATTTTGTAAAACAGCAGTATAAATATATGTAAGAGATTTCAGAAAGATGTTTTAAAATGAATTCATCCGATACTCATTTTTTAAAAATTGCCTTCATTTAGATAGAGGAAATTCTTACTCACGCTTCATTAAGGGGTACAAAAATAAAATCCTTTGCAAAAATATCTACATGCCGGGTCCATGTTTTTACTCTCCCATGTCGCTTTTGCTGTATTCTGTAAGAAAGAGATAAATTACAAGCTTCTGAAATATTTCTAGTGTTCCGGCTTATACGCAGTGATTTATAAATTAAGAAGATTCAGATGTAATAGCTCAAACAGTTGTATAAAATAGTTCAACAAACTGGGGAACGAAAACAGAACTTGTTGGATGGAAACTAGGAAGGGATGGACTACAGGAGAAAGATATTTTACTCCTGCTACTCCATCTGAGGGGTGGAGGTTCTAGTGCTTGTGTTGCCTAGACTTCTCTACTATTTTTATTACTGCAGAATTGGTACTAGCAATCATATTGAGAGGTGTACCCAAGCACAACTTAGGGCAACTGGGGAGAAGACAGTAGGAAAAGTGAGCATTATCTGATGGTCGATGAAGCAATACAGACTATGAGCACTGGTGAAAACCAATGACTATTACCAACTCTAAGATACAACATGGGAATTGCTGAAATAAGAGAAAATATTTATATTATGCATAGCAACCATCAATTGAAGATACCTAACACTAGTTTTAAATTTAAAAATGTACCAATTCTTAAGTATATTTAAGTGTATCAATTACTAGCAAATATCAGAGCTAGATGCTATCACTATATGGAGAGAAATTATAAAAAAAACAGGTGGGCATGATGGCTCACACCTGAAATCCCAGTACTTTGGAAGGTAGAGGCAAGCAGATTGCTCGAGCCCAGGAGTTTGAATTCAGCCTGGGCAACACGGCGAAACCCTGTCTCTACAAAACTAGCTGGGTGGGGTGGTATGTGCCTTAGTCCCAGGTACTTGGGAGGCTGAGGTGCGAGTATCGCTTGAGAGTGGGAGGTGGAGGTTGCAGTCAGCCAAGACTGCACCAATGTACTCCAGCCTGGGCGACACAGTGAGACCCTGTCTTGAAAAAAATAAAATAAATAAGGCCTAATATGTACAATAGTATTTCCTTAATTTGCCTGAGAAGAATCACCCAAAAAGCTTATTAAGAGTATAGATTCACAGGTTCCCCTCTTACATATTATGGATAAACATCAAGAATAAAACAGAGTAATCTGTAGTTACTAAGTATCTAAGTAATTTTTTAAAAACCTATCAGTCACATGTGAGAAGCACTATCCTAGATATTTGACCTAGAACATTTATGAAATCCAGGTATTCTGAAAGTACTGGAATATTATGAATTATATTAGCTTTGCAAACTGATGAAAGAAATAAATGATATTGCACATTATATTTTTTCCAAATATAATGTATTCCAAAACTCCCATTAAATTAGTTTAAGGCAGGTGAATATGAACCCGTGAAGAATGAAAATGGAACTAATTTATTTAGTGTGTTCTCTTCCTGGCTGGAGAATTTAACAAATAAGCAAGAGAATAATAGCGATTTGTGTTTTCTTTCAAGTACATGATCTTTTACTTAAATGTGAGTGATTTACATCTGTTAAATATTTTCAGAGTTTGACTTACGACAGATTAGTTGTTTCATGATTTCTCCTCTCTCTCTGATTAAGGCGTTTATAGAAAAAGGAACTGAATATATGAATTCGGTCAGCATCTTCTTTCTTCAGTTTTTCAAGCACCAAGTATCTATTTGACACAAAAACAATTGAAATATAATTAATGTAACACTTCATTTTATTTATTTATTTATTTATATTTTTCTGGAGACAGAGTCTTGCTCTGTCACCCAGGCTAAAGTGCAGTGGTGCCATCTCAGCTCAGTGCAATCTCCGCCTCCCAGGTTCAACTGATTCTCCTACCTCAGCCTCCCAAGTAGCTGGGATTACAGGCACATACAACATTCAGCTAATTTTTGTATTTTAGTAGAGATGGGGTTTCATCAAGTTGGTTAGGCTGGTCTTGAACTCCTGACCTCAAGTGATCCACCCACCTCTGCCTATAATCAGTGCTGGGATTATAGGCGTGAGCCACCACGCACATGTATAGTTTACTTTATATTAAAAAGTCAATAAATCTTTCTTCTTTAGAACCATCAATCTCTCTTCTTTAGAACCAAAGAAGTTATTAATAAAGTTTAATTAACTATCCAATTATCATCAGGCAATGAAAACTGATGTTTGAAAAATAAAATTGCTTGGGGCAAGATGGCGCAGTAGGAGCAACTCAGGATTGCAGCTCTGAGTGAAGGCGCAGAGGGTGAGTGCAAGCCCCATTTCCAGACAGATCGCTGTTGCCCACAGAACGGGGAAATTCCCAGGTGTAGGAGAGATATGAAATGCCAGTGCAGCTGTATCGGATGGCACGGCAGTTTCGGCCAGTGCTGCAGCGCAGCGGCACTCCGCACAAAACGCACTGCTCTGGGTGCCCTGGTAAACCGGCAATTTGAGATTTGGGAGGGCAGATTAGCATATCCATCTGATTAAATGGGACTTGTACAGTGAGCCAGGCCAGGAGATTCCCAGGAAGCGACGTTTGAGCCGGCACAGTGGGTCGCTGCACGGGAAATCACACAGATCCCGGTGCCCTATCAGCAGGCGATTGAAACAGCTGGGAGAGAGTTAACCGTTCAACTCAAAAAAAAAAAACAAAGGTCTCTGAGGCAGGGAGCCAGGTGATCAGGTTTGGCAGGTCCCACCCCCAGAGGGACAAACAAAACGGCGATTTGAAACCCTCGGGTATGAGAGTTTCACTGCGGGCACAGCTGAACCCAGCACGGTGCAGCTCGGTGGGGGAGGGGCGTCCGTCATTACCGAGGCATACCGCCCCTGCTGAGGTACACTCCCATTGCTGACACAGCCTGCCATTGCCGAGGCAACCCACCATAACAGAGACAGTCTGCCAATACACAGATGAGCCACCATCACCACAGCAGTTTTAACCACACCTATATAAACAGAACTACAGGGAATTACACTCCGCAGCAGGGCGGAGCCCACGGCAGCAGGACGGTGCCTCAGCAGGCAAATAGTGACGAGACTGCCTCCTAGCTGGGCAGGACAGTGCAACGGATACTTAACAATAAAGCCCTAACTCCCCGAGACAGAGCATCTGAGAAAAAAAAGGGGTTTTATGAGTTCTGCTGCAGCAGACTTAAACGTACCTGTGTAACAGCCCTGAATGAACAACGGAGCTCACACCTCAGCACTTGAGCTCCTATAAAGTAGAGACCATCTCCACAAGCAGCTCCCTGACCCCTGTATATCCAAAGCATCACCTGACAAAGGACTGATCAGACTGACATTTGGCGGGCATCATTCAGGGACAAAGATAGCAGAAGAAGAAACTGGTAGCATCCCTCACTGTTCCGCAGCTGCTACAGGTGTACCCCAGACAAGCAGGGCCTGGAGTGGACCTCAGCAGTCTTACAGCAGAGGGGTTAGACTGTTAGAAGGAAAACTAAGAAACAGAAATACTTCATCATCAACAAGTTGGGCGTCCACTCAGAGACCCAATTGAAAAGTCAGCAACTACTCCGACGACTTTGTGGATAAATCCACAAAGACGGGAAGAAACCAGCGCAAAAAGGAGGAAAACACCCGAAACCAGAACACCTCGCCTCCTAAAGGAAAAAAACTCCTCACCAGCAAGGGAACAAAGCTGGACGGAGAATGACTGTGATGAAATGACGGAATCAGACTTCAGAAGGTGGGTAATGAGAAACTTCCATGAGCTAAAAGAACATGTTCTCAATCAATGCAAAGAAACTAAGAACCTTGAAAAAAGATTTGAGGAAATGATAACAAAAATGGACAACTTAAGGAGGAATATGAATGAATTGAAGGAGGTGAAAAATACAAAATGAGAACTTTGCGAAGCATGCACAAGTTTCAACAGCTGAATTGACCAAGCAGAAGAAAGGATATCAGAAGTCGAAGATCAACTCAATGAAATAAAACGAGAAGCCAAGATTAGAGAAAATAGCACAAAACGGAATGAATAAAGTTTCCAAGAAATGCGAAACTATGTGAAGAGACCTAATCTACGTTTGATAGGTGTACCAGAATGTGAGGAAGAGAATGAATCCAAGCTGGAAAATACTCCTCAGGATATTATCCAGGAAAATTTCCCCAACCTAGCAAGGCAGGCCACTATCCAAGTCCAGGAAATACAGAGACCACCACAAAGATATTCCGCAAGAAGAGCAAACCCAAGGCACATAATCGTCAGATTCACCAGGGTTGAAATAAAGGAGAAAATACTAAGGGCAGCCAGAGAGAAAGGTCGGGTTACCGACAAAGGGAAGCTCGTCAGACTCACAGCAGATCTCTGGGCAGAAGCCCTACAAGACAGAAGAGAGTGGGGGCCAATATTCAACATCCTTAAAGAAAAGAACTTTCAACCCAGAATTTCATATCCAGCCAAACTGAGCTTCATAAGTGAAGGAAAAATAAAATCCTTTGTGAACAAGCACGTACTCAGAGATTTTGTTACCAGCAGGCCTGCTTTACAGCAGCTCCTGAAAGAGGCACTACACATAGAAAGAAACAACCAGTACCAGTCATTCCAAAAACATACCAAATGTTAAAGAGCATCAACAAAATGAAGAATCTGCATCAACTAATGGGCAAAACAGCCAGCTAGCATCAAAATGGCAGTATCAAATTCACACATAACAACATTAACCCTAAATGTAAATGTACTAAATGCACCAATCAAAAGACACAGACTGGCAAATTGGATAAAAAACCAAAACCCATCAGTGTGCTGTATCCAGGAAACCCATCTCACATGCAAGGATACACAACGGCTCAAAATAAAGGGATGGAGGAAGATTTACCAAGCAAATGGAGAGCAAAAAAAAGCAGGAGTTGCAATTCTCGTCTCTGATAAAATAGACTTTAAAGCAACAAAGATCAAAAGAGACAAAGAAGGTCATTACATAATGGTAAAAGGATTAATATAACAAGAAGAGCTAACGATCCTAAATATATATAGACCCAATACAGGAGCACCCAGATACATAAGGCAAGTTCTTAATGACTTACAAAGAGATTTAGACTCCCACACAATAATAGTGGGAGACTTTAACACTCCACTGTCAATATTAGACAGATCAACCAGACAGAAAATTAACAAGGATATCCAGGGCTTGAACTCAGACCTGGAACAAGCAAACCTGATAGACATTTACAGAACTCTCCACCCCAAATCCACAGAATATACATTCTTCTCAGCACCACATCACACCTACTCTAAAATTGACCACATAATTGGAAGTAAATCACTCCTCAGCAAAGGCAAAACAACAGAAATCATAACAAACAGTCTCTCAGACCATAGTACAATCAAGTTAGAACTCAGAATTCAGAAACTAACTCAGAACCGCACAGCTTCATGGAAACTGAACAACTGGTTCTTGAATGTTGATTGGATAAACAATGAAATGAAGGCAGAAATAAGAAGTTCTTCAAAAACAACGAGAACGAAGACATAACATACCAGAATATCTGGGACACATTTAAAGCAGTCTCTAGAGGAAAATATATAGCAGTAAGCACCCATATGAGAAGATTGGAGAGATCCAAAATTGACACCCTATCGTCAAAATTGAAAGAGCTAAAGGAGCAAGATCAAAAAAACTCAAAACCTAGCAGAAGACAAGAAATAACTAAGATGGGGAGAAGAACTGAAGGAGATAAGAGACACGAAAAACCCTTCAAAAAAAATCAATAAATCCAAGAGCTAATTTTCTGAAAAGATCAACAAAATAGACCACTAGCCAGACTGATGAAAAAGAAAAGAGAGAACAATCAAATAGATGCAATAAAAAACAATAAAGGGGAAATCACAGATTCCACAGAAATTCAAACCATCATCAGAGAATATTATAAACAACTCTATGCACATAAACTAATAAATCTGGAAGAAATGAATAAATTCCTGGACTCCTGTGTCCTCCCAAGCATAAACCAGGAGGAAGCCGAAACTATGAATAGATCAATAACAAGGTCTGAAGTCGAGGCAGCAATAAAGAGCCTACCAAACAAAAAAGCCCACGTCCAGATGGGTTCACAGCTGAAATCTACCAGATACACAAAAAGGAGCTGGTACCATTCCTTCTGAAAGTATTCCAAATAATCCAAAAAGAGGGAATCCTTCCCAAATCATTTTATGAGACCAACATCATCCTGATACCAAAACCCGGCAGAGACTCAACAAGAAGAGAAAACTTCTGGCCAATATCCATGATGAACACAGATGCAAAAATCTTCAATAAAATACTGGCAAGCCGATTGCAACAGTACATCAAAAAGCTTATCCATCATGATCAAGTAGGATTCATCCCAGGGATGCAAGGTTGGTTCAACATATGCAAGTCTATAAACATAATTCACCACATCAACAGAACCAAAAACAGAAACCACATGATTATCTCAATTGACGCAGAGAAGGCCTTTGACAAAAACAACAGCCCTTTATGCTAAAAACCCTCAATAAACTTGGTATTGATGGAACATATCTCAAAATCATAAAAGCTATTTACAACAAACCAACAGCCAATATCATACTGAATGGACAAAAACTGGAAGCATTCCCTTTGAAATCTGGCACAAGACAAGGATGCCCTCTTTCACCACTCCTATTCAATATAGTACTGAAATTTCTAGCCAGAGCAATCAGGCAAG